GTGCAGTTTTGTCAGAGCGTCATCATGCATCACCGTCGACTCAGCTGCAGGCTCAACCCATTGTCTCTAATGCTTCAGAAAAGTCCAGCTCTGAGGTGTTGGATGAAGTTTCTACCTTTGAAGACGAAGGTTGGCCTTTATAGATCCTTTTTTATTATTTTTTATTATTTTTGGTATTTTTCTTGTTGATGGATTACTGTTCTTTTTATGCTGCTTATCGAGCTGATATGATGCCAGGAGTCTTTAGGCCATGCTCATGCTCTACAGCATGACAGTATGCTCAAAATGCCTATTTCACTGAGCATTTAAATCATATTGATATTTTATTTCTTGCTTATGATTTTTTTTTTGCTTTGAATAGCATAGAGATTGTTAAGTCTTAGAAGTTATTAGTATTGATTATTTTCTTTCCAGTTATATCATATTTTATGTTAGAAGTTATTAGTATTGATTTATTTTCTTTTCAGTTATTTCCTATTTTATGTACTCTTTTTATCTTCTGGTAGTTATTAGGAATTGATTAATTGTAATATTAGAGATATGGGTGTCATGTCTTTCCTATTTTAGAATTCATGTAACCTTTATTGATACGTCTTTCATATTAAAAAAATTATTTCACTCTATTTTCAAAGGCTACATGATATTGAAGCCTTGAAACAAACCCTAGAGTTTCTAGCGGAAGAGAAGATCTCCTGCCACCGAAAACTTCCGACAACCTGCAGGTCCTCCTGAACCACTCTACCTCCCTCTTGTAGCCTGTAGACCATCCGTAGGATTATTGCCCCTTCCAGCATCCGGCGGAAGTTCCCATAGCAAACATACTTCCCTGGCAATAGAAGAACAACCGCATGACCAGCTGGCAGAAGTTCCCCTAGGAGAGCTACTTCTCGGGCAATAGAATAGCCGCTCCTACAGGAGCAACCTACAAAAGTTACGTAGGAGAATTTCTTCCTAGGCAACTGATCAACAGCTGCTATAGCCTATAGGCGTAGCCTATAGACCAATCAAATCATGTTTCCTTGTCTCTGCAGTAAACGACAATCAGATGCCTTGGGCTAGCAAAACTTAGATCTGCAGAAAATAGCAACCTCCAAGGAACTCCTGGATAATGGCGACTGAAATGGCATTAAATTCGATCGTTGGTCCTTAAATCCTCTTTCGGAATTGCACAACCAAAGTTTCGACCAGCCTTTACCCTCGCCAGCCAGCTGCCGTCGTTCTCCAATCAAGTTCTCGATGGCATTCTCGAGAATGTGTTGTGCTTCTTGACCTCATATGCAAGTATTGGTTTCGCAATGAGGCCTAGACTCAGATCAAGCCCGTTACAACTATGTTTCTGTCTTATCTCTCGCTTGAGTCTGCCTCAAGCGAATGACTATTGCTGATGTCGATTTCATGATCCTAGCAACATCCTTCTAGGATTTGTCACGGTCCCCCCACACACGGCCCCGCCGCCATAGCAGAGAGATGCAGGCGTCTCTGATCTCTAGATCTGATGAACAAGTCGTTGAGAATGATGAGGGAGTGGTGGATTGGGTATCATGCTTTCCACCAGGGATGACTTGCCTTGAGTCTCTGGTTTTTAATTGCATTGGTTGTGATGTGAACCTTGAAGCTCTTGTGGCTGGTCTCCTTTTCGGAGACTGAGAGTCAAAGAGCACATTTTTGTCTGTTGTTTCTTTCGGCTCTTGGCCCGAGCACTGTTGCAGCTCATTCATTTTGGCACCTGCTTTTTCTCCTCCTTCGAAGTAGGTAACTTCAGGCCTCTCTAAAGCAAATCTTTATGGCTTCCCAGTCCTTGATCACAACTAATCATCTCAAATTAGTCTTTACTCGTTGCCACAGTCTTCAAATTTTTTGGGTTTTAGATTCGGTGCGTGATAAGGGCCTTCAAATGGTTGCTGCAACTTGTAAGAAGCTCATGGAGCTTAGAGTGTTTCCTTTACCACAGGGGACTGAGGAATCAATATCAAATGTCGGATTGGCAGAAATCTCCAAGGGTTGTAGAAAACTCCAATCAATCCCCTGTTTTTGTCAAACAATGACCAATGCTGCCATCATCGCCATATCGAACAACTATCCAGATCTTTTTTTTTTATTGCAGGTGGTTGCAAGCCTTTTTAAAATCTTTTTCTGCTGCAAGCCCTTCGCCATTTATTATTTTTTTTTCTTTCCCTGCAGCAAGCCTCCTTCGAAGCTTTTCCGTGCAGCCATCAACGTTGGAAACTATTCCCTACAGGCAGCTAGAACTTCCTCAGCCTAATTTTTCCATGCAGACCTTTTTCGTAGCACTAACTTGCAGCAAGCTTCCACCTACCTACATAATTCTCTCTGTTGTAGGCTCCTATGGAGTCTTTTTTCCTGCAACAGGTCCTCCAAAGTTTTTCTCTTCAGCAGACCCTTCTCTGGAGCTTTGTCCTGCAGCAGACCCTCATTAATAACTTTTTCCTTGCATATTATACCCTGCAGCTTTCCCTGTTGGTTGTCTAGTTCTCTGCAAACTTCCCTACAACATTACCTGTAGTGGCCTTCCAACTACCTACAGGAACTACAGAAACCGCAGAAACTACTGTCAAATACTACCGCAATCAACTAGAAGTATCCCTAAATGCATTGGGGATGAAGAATTCAATTTCTACCTCACAAATTATCTTCCTCGCCCATTATTTGATGATTTCGAATTAAAGTTGAACATGATTGACATCTATGTTCCAACTTGAGGTGAAGTGTTAGAAGTTATTAGTATTGATTTATTTCCTTTCAAGTTATTTTCTATTTTATGTTACAAGTTATTAGTATTGATTTATTTCCTTTTCGGTTATTTCCTATTTTGTCTTTTCTTTTATCTCCGGCTAGTTATTAAGAATTAATTAATTGATGTTTTTTCTATTTTATAATTCATGTCATCTGTATTTATAACTCATTTTCATATTAATAAAGTTATTCCGCTCTATTATCAAAACCTACCCTAAGAACTTGGAAATTTTGGTTTTGTTTCTCTTAAAAAGTTGAGTCATGTTGGTAATGCTTCTTTTAAAGGTCGAGGAATGGGAAACTCTCGATACTTTCGGGGGAAATCTGTTTTAAGCTATTTTTATACTGTTTATTAATTTGAATGGGTTTTGCTTGTTTGTTTGGAGTGATGATTGCATGTTAAATAAAGAAAACGACTCAAATGCCAATTTATTCCTGTAAATCATAAGTGACCGCATCTGTTATCCAAGTAGCCTTTAAAAACATTCTGAATAAAAAATAATAAATCTCAATTTTTTTGTCATAAATGTTCTTAAACAAAACACCTAAAAGCATCCACTAAATAAAACACCTTAATGGTGCATGTTAGTGTGAGAAATGTGTCCAAGAATCTGCTCGTTTCAGCAGGTATAATCCATAGGAAGTAATATTTGTTTGCTAAATATACATAGTAGGGGCTTCAAATGTTGGAAGCTAGGTTTTGAATATTATTCCTGCATTATAGCCCTCCTAAAATTCAAAATCTCACAATAAATCAAAATAAAGTAGTCAGTCAGTAACTAAGTAAAATTTCTATTATACATAAATTATTAACATATATAAATATTGATGTTGATAAGTAGTACAGGAATCATCGTCATTACAATTACAAAATTAACACCAAGTTAGTGCAAACATTAGGGATACCCTTTGATTTTCTTGTAACAAGATCTAGAAACATAAAACCTGACAAACATTAGATTGAAGATTTTTAGCATTTTTTAACTAATCCACTTCTGTCTCGCACTATTTTTAGGTTTAGTACAGCCTTAATGTTATTCTTTCAAACATTATATAGGAAACATACCTTAATGAGAAGTAGAATCAGCATGCTATAAGCCCAGAAGCTGCAGCAAACACCATACACGACAATGCTGCAAGTTTCATTTACTTGTTTGGGAGCATCATCATATTCACAGTTCAACTTAACGTAGCAAGATGAGTTGTAGTTGTTTGGCGGACAAAAATTCTCTTTAAACAGGTTTTGGCGAGGCATAAACTAAATAGGTTAGATGAATGGGTATATCTTTTCATTTAAAAGTGTAATTCAGGCTCACCGCAAGCATGATACTGACAAATTTAGTTGAGGCACGTCAAAGCCATAATCCTTGGCTTAGTAGAAACGTGATACATGGCCCATATGAAGCAGTTAATTTATCAATGCTTTTGCAAATCATCAGAACTCTTTTAAAATCAAACACTAATGTTCTTTTAGCGCACAGCCAGTCTATTTAAAGCACCAATACCGTTCTAGGGTTTCTAGCAGGTGTAATAGAACACAGAGAGGTTTAGTGAAGTTGTAGGATGGGTCAGAAGTAAGAGAATAGACTGAAATGCTGCGTGAATGGCACCAGGACAACGAACTGGTAGCAATAAAATTGCATTTTCTGTTGTGACCAGTAGCTCAAAGCGTTTCCGATGGCTGTCCGACTGAAAACAATGGGTAGAACAGTGAACAGTGAACAGTGAGATACGGGCGGCAAGGGTGATTCATCACTTGTTCTTGGACAAGCTACAAACACATCACTTGTATTTATTTCTATCGTTTGGTTCTTTTAAGCGAGAATCCCTAAATCTAATTTTTTTTTTCATGGAAAAACTGTACCAGTTCAGTCATCACCAAATAATCTCAAAATTTTGAATTTGTTGTCATTTTGTTTGTCTCATTTCACACTTCAAAAATATAAATAAAATTTGTAATGTTATGTTAAAATTCTTGGAGAAAAGTTTGCCTAAAGAAAGCCCCAATTTTCCGTATTGTGTTTCAAGTTCCTACTTTTCTATGTTTTTTGTCCCCAAATATATATCCCAATGGTCCAAACCTAACACAACTCTTAAGATAACTCGAATTGAGAAATTAGGTCACGCTTCACCTTGTACGCTGCTATCCAGTATGTTGTGATCCCATCGTTGGCTCTGTATGCCGCGATCGTGACGTTGGCATCCCTGCTAGCTCCAAATCGCAATTGTATCATGATGCTGAATCAGATCGAGTCGCTCTGTATGTTGCAATCCTTACTTTGGCGTTCCCACTAGCTCTTAATCGCGATTGTATTGGGATGACGAATCAGATGGATTCGCTCTGTACGGTGATCACTCGTTTGTGGAAACTCTAGCTGTCAGATCGTGACTAGGGCACACCCGATCTTTGTTCTTCTAGAACCAAATGCTTTGATACCATTTGATAGGATTAGAGATGACTTTTCCACATAAATTAGGACAAACAAATATTTTATTGGAAGAACATGATACAATTCAACATGAATACATAAGATAAGCACCTTTAATTTGAGACTAGGGGATCTCTTCCAAATCCTATAATTCGGGAGGTAAGAAATCTCTCCCAAACCCTAGCCCTAGACCTCAAAACCCAATCTCATGCATAACCGCAACCCTAAACATGTTTACCCTATTTATACCCAACAACAACAATAATAAAAAGCTAACTTGCCCTCAGGCTAATAAAAGCCAAAATTTTCCTTAGGCTTGGCACTGGTGTAACAATATTTCTCTCCTAGAAAGATACTTTGTCTTCAAAGTGGTAAAAATTATTGTTGGATCAAGTCATATGGTTCCCGCGGCCCGATGCTCAAATTTGTTCAATTAGCCAGATTAGCAAATGCAATTAAGCCTTAATCTGAGGAGTATTGACCTTGGATTTCTTTCTTTCTGCAGGTGATTCAAAATCTGTTTATGTGGGAAACATTCCACCAAATATTTCATCATCTGACCTTGAACAAGAGTTCAGAAAGTTTGGTAGAATAACGCTTGATGGTGTTACTATCAGGAGCCGTAAGGTAAATTAACCAGCTTTGATCCATAATGCATTAATATTCTAGTTTCAGAAATCGCTAATTTACCTTTTTTTTTTTTATTTTTATTTTTTATATGCAGGATGGTGGATTTTACTATGCATTTGTAGAATTCGAAGACGCTGTTGGTGTTCAAAATGCGCTGAAGGTTTGTTTCATTGTTCTTATCTCTACTTAACATTACGTAACATTACATAGCAGCAGGATTATATTTAGGTCATCCTTTGCAGATTTATCTGTTAATTCAATGTCCAGTATGGGCTTTCTATCTGAGACACTTTTAATAAAACTCAACTGGATTTGTCCTGGAAATTTTCTTCTCACAATGCTTACCTTTCAATTTGTAAATTAAAATTTAGAGGCATTTCATTTCTTTTTGAAATATTATCTACTCTCTGACACCGATCACGTGTTTATATATATATATTAACATCTCTAAAACTAAATCAATGAAAATACTAAGGGCTTGTTTGGGATCAATTTTGTTTAGTGTTACATGCTTTTGAAAAATAAAGAAAAAAGAAAATAGAAAAAAAAAGATAAAATATTAAATTGATTCCAAACAACCCCCAAGTATTTAACCAACATATTGCAGCCGTGTTTATTTACTGTTCCTTGCAGTTAAAAAGCTTCAGAAAAGCTGTCTTGTTATTTTGTAGGCTTCTCCAGTGCAGTTGAATGGAAGACTGGTCCACGTAGAGGGCAGGAGGCCAAACAGTGGTGCGTCACGAGGAGGAAGTAGGTGTTCTTAATTCTTAAAATTTCTTTCTTCGCTTTACTCACTCTCTTCTAAATTTAAAGTTTGCTTTTTCAACTTGTCTTACATCTCAAGTAATATAGTTATAGCATCGAAGATCGAAATCTCGGTTAGAGGATGATTAGAGAATCCTTGATTTTCAAGATCTTGCTTTTTAGTTAATTTCCTTTGCCAGTATAATTTCTGATTGCATTTATTTTTGTGTGCTTAAAGGTTGTGATTTACTGTTGAATATCACAGCAGGATGTCCCTACTTCTTGTCAGAAATCAACCAAACCGGCTTTTTAAGTTGTTAATATTTGTTAGGGGGATTGACATACATGCCACTCATTCCTTATGTATTTACGTGTTTCACACATAAACTTCAAAAGTTATTTTTGGGGAATTTACATGCATGGCACCAAATTTTTATGCTTTTACTTATCTCACACCCAAACTTTGATTTTTACATCCAAAGCATCCTACTTGAGTAAATTATGTAATCCACTTTTCATACATCTTTTCATACACAGGAAAAGATGCTTGGCTTGTAAAAACCAGTTTGGCTGTGAGATGAGTAAATAAGAATTGTGTGTTATGTATGTAAATTTCCGTTTATTTATATGATACCTCCTAAATCTTTAGCAACACAAAAAATCTACTGATGTTAATTTTTCTAAAGTGAAGCATGCCCTGTCATGCATATGTTATATAAATGTTATATGGAAGATTTACTTGCATACCACGCATTTCCTTTGTATTTACATTTTTGATTTTTACCTTTGCACAACTTTATATAAGATTGAAAAAGTGTAGAAGTTAATAAAAGTGGTATTTTTGATGTGATATGAAAGATTTGAGCATTATAAATGTAAAAAAAATTAAAAATTTAGGTGTTAGATTTGTAAATACATTAGAATTTTGTGGAATTTCTTTAAATGCTCCTATAAGTTTCTGTGTGAGAATTAAATGTGTAAATACATGAGAATTGTGTGGTATGTATTTGAATTCCCCCAATAGTTACATAATATTCTTTTAGCATATGGTATGTAAAGTCTATGCTACTATTAAGGTTTTTATTACGTTTTCTGATTAGATTGCCTTTTTTTTATTATTTAAACTCTTAGGGAGGGGCAAGGGAGGGGCAAAGGAGGGGGAGGCTACAACTTGGAGGCCTCGAGAGGCCGTTTTGGCGGCAGGTCTTTTCGACAATGACGGTCATATCCGGCGAGCTTCATGTCATGAAAAGGGAATGCAA